AGAAATATTTCACAGTAGTAAAGTTAACAGCAATAACACATATTAGAAACTGACTTCTTTTCTCAATAAACTGCAAATTTTTTAAGAGTAAAAATTTATGGTAACGTTTTAATATAGTTAATCAGCTATTTAAATGCTTTAAAAAAATTCATTTAATATTACTTTATTTTATTTACATTTTCAAGAGGTAAATTGGCACACTCAAAATTATTTTGTATTAATCGAGAGTGCATGTACAAACAGTCTGGCTGATCTGGCTCTCAGCCAGGATATTTGTCTCGGCTGGAGATCTCGGTAAATAGGCTACTAGCAGCCTCCCGCAAAAAAAAAAAAAAAAAAACAGATATCTTCCTATCTCAAAGGAATATAGACGTATCCGAGTTTAAGAAACGGATTTTGTTCAGTTATTAGATTAAGGTTACAATCCGTCGTGCAATACTCTTCATGTCAATATGCAGTCTCCCAAGTTGAAAAACAAAACACGAAATCTTTTATGATCCGTCATTCATATGTAGTCCAAACCCCGCTCTACCGGCACGGTTGGCTAGCCTGGCCACTCTCACACGGGCTATTGAGTTGCGGCCACTCATGGGCTCCTGCATATTCATATCTGATCGTGCTGTCGTACATACATGTGTACACTCTCTCACTCACACACACACTCATGACAGAAAACAGCGAGATACTGTGAGGGGGAAAACCTCAGAACGGCGAGGTCTCCCTCGCCACTGAGGTCTTAAAAACAAATACATGGGTACATACCTATGTATTTGTAAAAAAAATACATGGATTTGAACAAAAGTTGCTTCAACTGACCAACAGCTGATAAAAAAGTTCCCCTAGAGCTAAAAATTTGAACAAAAGTGAAAGTTCCTCAACTTGAAATTTAACAAAGGGTTCTCACCCCTCCCACCTAACTACTCAGAAAGACCTACTTCATGCACTAAGTCTCTCCCGAAGCTCCAGTAACAAAACCCGCGACCCAATAGGCTTCCTTGTAAGTGATAACCGGGGAGAGATTTAAGCCCTGGTGACTACCAGTGGTGTGAGCCTCTTCGTGAAACTGCTTCATTCGACGCATTGCTATAAAGCCCAACCGCAGTTTTCTGCGGGATTTTTACCTTTGTTCTCAGTCCCTCGATAGCCGCCTTTTGGTCCATTTCCGCTCGTGGCTCATATGACCACTGAGACACTGCAGTTGGAGAATGGTTGAGAGGGATGATGAAGTTCAGTGCCGAACGATAGCGAATCTGGCGGCGACAGCAAGATTAACGCGCCCCATCCCTCTGAATCAGTCAGCAAAGAAATTGCACCAACAAATCAAACAAATTACAGAAAACAGATTTCTCATAAATTTTGATTTTTGTTTTTCGCTCTGTATAATACGGAAAAGATTAAGTCAGGGAGTACCTGGACTCCATGGCTTCTTGGTCAGGTAAGAAGGAACAAAATGGGATCATAATAACACTAAAGGAGATTATGTTGTTGAGGAGGGTGGCAGGAAAGCCATGCAAGCTCAAGCAGCGGGTCTCCTCCTGCCTGTGACGGTGTTGCCAACCTCACTCTTCACCACCAAGTCCCTCATTTGTGTGTTATTTGGTTCGTCTGTATAATTTATGTAAAAAACACGGGTATTTAGTATGCAAAATCAGCCTCAATAATTCATCCTCGTTTATATAAAGTGTGCAGGTATTACGACACCAAATAACACACACTTACTAATGTTATTCCAAGACAGCCTGGTATAAAAGTTAGATATTCAAGATTGTCGTTATGGGTGTGTATCTATCTTTGTGAATAAATACGGAAAAATTAAATGTATTCAAGATAATCCAAGGTTTGCTTTGTTGAATAAATTATTATTATAGAATTGGCGCCTGAGGCCAAGCGCTGGAGCCTAACGGTTATTGAATGTTACTCTACTGGATGCTGTATTAGATTTAGCTACTCAGAACGAAATCGCCATGTAGCACGGGCTATAGTGAGCCCGTAATTCTACTGGATAAAGTGAAGGGTTAAATCGCAATTAATGAAGTGAAGGAGTTCTTACAGCATTGCCAAAGAAACTGTTACAATAATGTTCTTAATCTCTGCTTTCTTCTTGGATAGTGTTATTTCAAGTTCAAGTTAAAAGTTTGTTTATTGAGACAAGAAAAAATACATCTCAAAGGGATAGAGTAGCTTAGGCTATTTCTCCCCCCCCCCCCCCCACCCGTGTTATTTTATGATAGCTTATGCTTGCAAAGTTTAGAACATGGCTATTATTCCCCTCAAGCTTTGATTTAACCTTTGCCTCAGACAGCTTAGGGAAGACGTCTTCAAGGTACCTGAAGGCTGCAGTTTTATGAAATAATGTGTCACAGATTGGGAGGGTAGAAATAGCCTAAGCTACTCTATCTCTTTGAGATGTATTTATTTTTGTCTCAATAAACATACTTGAATTTGTGTCACAGCTCTAGGCAAGGAGTCGGCACCCTTCATCTACCTTCAAGGTGTACGTCTTACATAAGCTTTATTAGACAAAGGTCAAAGCAAAGTAAGCAATCAAAAAAATGTCACTACCCATGCACAAAAATTGTGTTGTATAGTGACCCGTCTCACCTGGGAAACTCGGTTGTAACTTAACTCCATAATAAGTGTTCACGTCTTATGAGACGGATAAAACATCTCAGAAAACATAGCACTGAATAACTTAATCAGTTCCAGTACCTGGACAAAGACTTAACAAAAATACACAAATCATATACGTCAGAAGTGACATTACCAACAACCTCTTTTGTATTTTAATGTAATAAAATAATTTCAGATAAGTTTGAAATCAAATCACATTCTTAACTATTTTGTTCCTGTTTATGAATGGAACCGCTGTACGGGGCTGTTACAGGCAACCTGTCCTCAGGCCAAGCTCGTTAAAGCAGCAGCCATCCCCACAAAAAGTATTCAATTTTAACGTATTGTGTATTAAAAATAAGTTTGTTCTTAAATATAAATTAATATTATATATTACAGTTCTATGGCCGGTTAAGCGTAGGTTAGGTTAGATGTTTAGGTTCTGTTTGCGATTAGTTGTAGATGATTATGTGGACATTTCATTTATTTATTTCATCATTTACAGAATTACATTTCGAACAGAGGTCGTCAGCGAAGCACTACTCGAGAAATGTTGGAGTCATGTGGACTATGTTGATGAGAACAGTGCACCGCTTCGAACAGTGCTTCTCTGGCAACCTCTGTTCGAATCGCAACTTTGTAAATGCTTCCCCCACACACTACAAAAATACAAATAATCACCAACAAAACCTAAACACCTAACCTAACCTACACTTAACTATATATATAGAACTTTAATATATAATTATATTAATTTATATACGAGAAAAAACTTATTTGTAATACACAATACGTTAAACTTGATTGTTTTTTTTTTTGCGGGGGGGGGGGGGGGAGGGCAGCCACTGCTTTAACACAGGCCTGAGGACAGGTTGAACAGTCGTGTTTAAGGCGTTGTCCTGAGGACTTGGACATTACGGGCTCACTATAGCCCGTGCTACATGGAAATTTTGTTCAGAGTAGCTGAATCTGGAACAAGAAGCAAGGTTTGGACGCTGCCTGGGATGAACATTTGGCCATTGTTGACGAGGAGCATCTGGCCATAGTTATGAGGACGGGCGGGGTATCCCTGTAAACCCGAGTATGTATGGCCTTGTTCTGATAAATGGATATTGATGAATTAACATTCTATATACAATAATTTACAAAACAACTGACCTCGAGCTGCTCGGTGATCTTCCCATCCGTGTCGCCTCCAAGAACCATCAACGCCTTCAAATACACGTATGGAAGCCACTATGTATATCAAAATACATATATCATTTTCACTAAAGATAATTTCCAACTCGCGATTCAAAAACTTTGTTCCACAAGTTTGGACAACTTATCGGCCGCTGAGGGACCGTAGCAACAACTGTTTACGTTTTGCGGCAGTTGTAGACTTGCAAGTAAGTCTGAGAGCAAGTAGACTTGCTCTCAGCGTCTACTTCGATGTTTATGTAAGCTTCTATACATCGCTGAACGAACACAGACACGCGCACACACACAAAATATGCACAATAAGAAATTTGGAAAACTTAGTCCCTGTTCCCTCGAGTCTCTAGAGTCGACTGACTGCCAAGTGTAACAGACCCACACACGTCGAGGGTGTTCATCTTGAAGGATTTCGTAAATTAATTAATTCTTAATTAATAATTACAGTTCATCACTTTACGATGGTTCACAGAACAAATAATGGTAGTTAAGTTTATTTTGAAAGTACGTAAAAGTGGATAATACCGACGTTAAACCCACAATTATCTCGAAATTATATTTCCACATAGTGTGTCAGGCCCAGGAACACGGCTATATTTCTACCAGTTCAACAATTAATATTTAAATACTTGTCGTAATTCATAATTCATTCGCAACAAAATCTCAGTGATTGACAATTTAATATTTTCGCTTGTCAGGTGAAATCAGTCACTTCTAGAGAGTTTGATGTTGCTAAAAAAAACTTTCATGTTGAAAAATCGTTACAAGTTATTTACGGAAATTATTAGTTATTTCCACTCTCTATACTTCATACTCTGGCCACTTCGACTAAATATTAAGCTTTAGCCCTTTGAGTAAACTTATCTCAGAGTTTGTTTAAATAATAATGTCAAGAAAACGTAACCTATCAACAAATTTTACACGCACGCAGACAGACAGACAGAGACAGACACACAGATATACAGAGACACAGAATGACAGAGACAGACAGTCAGATATACAGACACAGACTGACAAACAGAGACAGACAGTCAGACAGAGACATAGACACAGACAGACAGACGCGCTAGCTAGCTTGCCTGGTGTTAAAGCTCCCACACCTAAATAGTAATCACTTCCAATGTAATAGTGAGCAACAACACATTAATCCATTTGCCAATGACACAATGATGAGGCGGGTAATAAATTCAGGCAAAAACGCGAAACGTTTTATTTTGACTAAGTTTCGAAAAGAAAAAAAGTAGTATCAGAATAACAGGTAGCATATAAATAATAGTGAAATTGCGAGGATCATAGATTAATTACGCTATGTAACTAATTTTGTTCCTAAATAGTGTTGTTTTTCTCCTCCATTCCTTATTATATTCCATTCCAAATTATAGACAATGACTATTATAACTCCCAAGCTTTACTTTGATCTTTGCTTAAGACAGCTTTGGGAAGATCTATTGGAGGTTGCAGACTTCAAGTGCAAAGTTGTTACAATTTGTCACAATCGAGTAAGGAGTCGCCAGTCTTCAAGACATCTTCCATAAGCTATTAGTTCTTCCGGTCCCCGACGAATCGAATTACAAATTATTTTCTAAACTTAGGAAGCATAAGTATTTAGAAAATCAAACTTGCTGCCCACTGTATCCAGAGACCAATACAAAAAGTTACACAGTGTTATAAGTAGGGATCTAAAACCTAAGATCAATAAAGTGATATTGTGTACATATCGGGAAACGTTACAAATAAAACTAATGTTATCCTTCATCTGTATCTTAACCTTGTGAGACCATACACTAATTATGCAGTAGTTTTGAGCACACTGCAGAAAGGAATTCAGTTCGCTTGAGAGTATACAAAGAATAACTAGTTAATAACACTAGAAATCTAAATTTCGAAGGGAGATTAAGGGAAGTGTATGGTAATTGTGAAGAGAAAATGTCGAGCAAGGGATGAGCACTTGGAAGGAAGGGTTGAGGCCAGGATATACTGTATATAGGATCTGGGATGTGAGTACAGACTAGAGGCGGGATGTGAGGATGAAGAGCAAATTCATGAGCGCATTTAATTAACTCTTCTACTTTTGAACCTATGGTTTCGTTTGTTCCTAGGCTTTGTTGAGGTCTGTGCTGACTGAATATTAAAAATAGTTATCCAAAGTCAAATCATTTTCTTCCATGTTACAGTAAACAAGGCTTTTTAGAGTTTCATCTTTTTGAGGTCCTCATGTAGTGATTTTCTAACATACAAGTGTTTACAAATCTAAAATTATGACAAATTTTAATAATTTATTGCGAGTGGGTTACAAGTAGTCAGTCTTTAATTGTTGCAGGCTAACAATGTCAGTATAATGTCAATACTCTTCTCTAGTATCAAGAGCGGCCATTGTACAGTACTCTTCAAATGCTTCATTTATTTTCATGGATTTTAAACTATTCTTACTGCTGCTTATTATTTCCATTCTAGTCTGACAGTTTATTTACACATTATATTGTATCACTGACATTTTGCTCCTGGGTGGTGTTATTTCCTAATTGCTTATGACTCCAAAGACAATGACTATTATTCTCCACAAACTTGACTTTTATGACTACTGGACGCCTCTAGGTATGAGGAGTATGGCTGGGAGGTCAACAGACACTAAAATGGTAGCATTTTTAATGGGTTTCTCCAAGACAGTTTTACAAAGCATCCCTGCTATTTTTGCCTTTGGGACAGCAGGGACACTAAGGAGCATCACAGGTGGGACCAGCCACAGCAGACCAAGTTCTCTGTAGGGAAGAAACAAGCGGGAGCCACCATTGGATCCTCTGATGCAGATGCCACCACTGCACATCAAATTGGGTCTTGTGAAACAGTTTTGTCACAGCTCTAGATAAGGACTCTGCAGTCTTCACGACTTCTTCCCAAAGCTGTCCGAGACAAAGGTGTGGTGTCTTCGTCACACCACAGATAAAGATGATCTGGAGAGCAAGGAATTTCCCAAGCAGCTTATTAAGAAGGAGACAGTGGCTTGGAACAGAGTTTTGAAAGTGTGATTTGGGGCTTCCTGGGCAATTACAGACATGAAAACTATGTGCAGCTGGTTGGACTGGTGAACTTAAGTACTGTATAATGGGCTGCAGGTTGTTCAAGTCCATATCCTTGGTGCTTATCATGATAAATTCAAGGAGAATATAGGAGCGTACTCAGGAGAGCAAGGCGAGAGATTTCATCAGGGTATACTAGATTTTGAATATAGTTACCAAGGACAGTAATATGATGGGAAACTACATTTGGTGGCCAATTCAATTAAGTGATTTACAGTAGAATTGTAAAGCAAAATTTTTAAAAATTCAGGGGCATGTAATTATCAAAAGGGGGAATTTTAGGTACAAGCAATTAGGAAATCAACTACCCAGGTGCTACAATATGAATTACTTTCACATTTGTTACTGATAAATCCACAATTCCTCAGGGATCAGGGTGTCGAAGCTCACTGCCATTACTACAGTACAGGTATTATCTTTACCACAGTTAACAATCTTCCTCTCTATCTTCACTATTGCTTTCCTTAACGTCCATATAATTATTTTTACCATGAGCATTACCCTTATCCAAATCTGCATACATTTACATTGTTTTTGTTACACTGGCAAAAATGTTACAAAAAATATGCCTCAAGTTTTTAGTGCATGCCTATAATCCGTTGTAAGGTTACCTGAACACCTTTTATAATTGACCAAGAAATTACCAGACTAGCAACAGGGAATTAACCAATACATTTTTAAATAAATAAATATAGGTATTTTACTTTTTGGGAGTGATTATTGCCCAGTAAATAAACGACCAACATTCATATTTGTTTAATCTTGCATACAGTAAAATATATCACTACATTTGGAAAAATAACTTACAAAATGTAAATACTTGTTTAACTCATTGAGTAAGTAATTATCAAAAGGCATCGAGCCGGGAAGGCAATGTAGCACCATCAAATGTGTGGGATATTCATAGGGCGCTAAATATCACTAAAGGACGTCAATACAAGGACAAAAGTGCACAAGATGAATGATGTCAAATGTATTCGATTCACCGATTCACCAGACGCAAGCATGTCCTGGAAAGTCTGGACATTCAACAAGGATGTGCACGACTTAAGAGGGGACAATGCAGTTTGGACAATAAGAGGCAGAGCAATGCTTCATTTAGTGCCCGCAAGTTAAACGTGTATGGCCAATATGTAACCTTGCCAGAGCTGTTTTCCACTGTCAAGACTTTGGACAAAAGTAAATTAAAAATTGTCCACCTCCAAAGTTAAATAATGTTTACCTTTTAAATTACAGGTAACGTTTCCATGCTATTTTAACAGTCTAGCAATTTAAATTTGTATAAATTATATGATTTTACACATTTTCACAAAAGCTGTCCAAACTATCCCTTTCCTAATACTAGATACCGTACCAATAAGTAAGTAATTATCAAAGAAGGCACCAAGCCGGGAAGGCTATGTAGCACCATCTAGAGATACCAACAGTCTTACACAACCAGGATGAATTTATTAACACCTCCAAGCATGGAACGTACATAACGACAATGTTTCCTTTTATCTGCTGCCATTTCACCAGGTAATAAATAGAGTTCCAGGAGTTAATCAACTATTGTGGGTTGCATCCTGGGAATGGTCAGTAAGTTGGCCAAGTTAAGACCTCAATAAGCTTAAATACAGGCTTCCTGTCCTCAACAGGCCACCATACTGTACATACCGAGTATGTACAGTACATTGCCTCACCGAGGCAAGTCGGGATGCTTGGCCTACACACTTGGCAAATCCATTTTCTAACCAGACTTTACAGTCTGGTCAGCAAGAGATTATTGCTGCTTTTGCATGTTCAATATTTCATTTAATGGAATATTTGTGTGAATCAAACTTACAGCATACAGAATATATTTTATTTACTAAGAACATGATTTTGAACTGTACTATCACTTCAAAACATTAAAAAATCACACAACTTCTGCTAGTTTTAGTGGTCAGTAGATAAAAATATATTTCACAATTTCACCCTTGACAATGCTTTTAGACAAACTGAAAACCAAAAACAAAAATAGATAAGGGAAACTTTGCTTACAAGTTAATTTCAAATAAATGTTCACTTAAGGCACAAATATTCCTGTAACTTTTCCAACTTGATACTTCTTACAAGGTCCTTAGAGTTCCTAAACACCGTGTTAAACAAACATCAAAAGACTATAGCACTCGTTAATCAGAACAGCATTGGTATTTACTTTCTAGAATGCTGTGCATTATGCAAGATATGGGAAGATATAAGCCAATTTTGTTATATATAGAAAAGTCATCTTTATACAATAATTCCATCTTCAGGATCATTCTGCCACACCTCCAAGAAATTGGGAACTGTATAATTATCATTTATTTTATTTTATTTTATTATAAATATCAAAATTTAAAGTTTTGATGCTTATCAATTTCCTATGCAAGCCAAAGCAAGATGCCTACAACTTAAAAAAATGTTCTAATGTTGCTAATTGTTTTCCAATTAGCAAGCAATTGAAAATTTTAAAAATTTTGGTCAAGAGTAACCGAAAACATTTAATTTTATAAAACTTTCTTCATACCATTTCAGCATTAAAATAAGTTGACATGTACAGTATTATAATACAACATATCACTTGCAGAGTTTAGTATATCCATAATTATCTAGTTGGGAAGCATTTTAACTAGCATGGATAATAGATTAACATTTTTAGGCATATTCTAACATTTGTAAATGTTTACATCACAGCCAAAGCAGCTAAAAGAGGAAAATTGATGCACAACCACAGTACAAAATTGCTGAACAAAATAGCTACTACTTGTACTTAATCATGGCTCAAGAGACTAGTAGTGCTACTTACAATTTTCCTATTTTAACAATTCACAATTTAACAACCAACAGCCTAGAATAAACTTATTCAAGGTATAAAATATAGATTCATTGGTATAGATAGTATTCACAGCCATTTTTGTTTTCCCCCCAAAGTTGTGTATCTACTCTAAGCATATTTTTCTAATTGCAACATTGTGGCCTTATTCTCACAAAGTAGAAATGCATAAAATTTGTGCACATTCACAAACCCATCAGCAACCATCAATGCTCTTCATGTCAAACAGTACATTTCCAATGATTTTATTTCCAGTTAACAGCATTTACAACGTATGAAGATTAAACCACACACCAGAAAATGAGGAGACTATGACGTTTCGGTCTATCCTGAACCATTATCAAGTCGATTGTTATGCGCAAACCTGGACCACAATCTACTTGATAATGGTCCAGGACGGACCAAAACGTCGTAGTCTCCTCATTTTCTGGTGTGTGGTTTAGTCTCCACATCTTAAACCCACGTTATTGTGACACTGCTTCTGCTTACCGTGTATGGTTTTATTCCATGAACACAAATAGAGATGCATGAACATGAATGAACACAAATTCCATGAACACAAATAGTTTATTTCATGAAAACAAATAGAGAAGGATGGGATGCAAGAATAAAGCATGCACACCACTGATACACTGCTTCAATGACTTCATTTGAACAACTCTTCAGATCAATTTAATACAATAGTAAGAGTTGCAAATATTACATAGAGATTAATATAATATTTACATTTACTGTATATTAATGCAAATATTATATTTGCATTATTAATATTAAAAGTTATAAATGCACCAACAATAAACACTTCGATATGTAACACATTTGGCAAATTTGTTAGTGCATCTATAATTTGATTGTCTGAATTACCTTGATCTAAATTACTGTAAATGCAAGTTCCCCCTAGTACAGGTATATGCTTCTTACATTATTTTAAACACCAATAATCTAATCTAAACTAACGAATATATCGAGGAAGAAAAGGCTAAGTATGACCGAGCTATAACACACACAGGCAAGTATACAGTAGTTAGATAAGCACAGTGTAAGGTCCTATAATACACGCCATTGAAGTGTATATAAAACACTTGTACGGAATCCCGAAGCTAATTATAGTGGAGGATGCACCATCTTTCAAGGTCCTTATTACTTTCAGCACAGCATCTCAAATACAGAGAGTCTCGGCTGTATTTATCATCATTGTTAAGGTACATGGCATGCTGTTCCATTGAAGTTCAGCTATATGTAGACAAGACTAGGAATGCTACTATAACAGGATACTTCCCAAGATTTGGCCCATGAACAAATGACTTTGTATGAAAATTTAAGAAAAGTGTAGCATTCAACATCTAACACCAACTATACTGTTCACCTATCCTATTTTAATTCTTGGTGCAACACATCACACTAAAAATTTCTTTCATATTTCAAATTTTATGAAATACAAACGGAAATTTAACCGAGAATTACAAGAAGCAAAAGCAACTACAAATTCCTTAATACAATATTGATATTTAAAATGTCCAGAGTAACAATATAAAACCATGACAACATGGTACTCAATTTATTAATTTAATGTAAGCAGCAGCCAACTCTGTATGCTTTTGACCTGTGGTATGTCAACTATCACAGCATATACTCAAACCTTAGCCATTATTAGGAAACCATGGATAATATATATGCTTCACCCCAAGTAATACTAGTTACTGTTATTTACTAACGAAATAACTAGAATCAACATCCAAATACAAGTAAATTGATTCCCCAAAAATGTCCTGCAAAATATAATAAACATCACTATAGTATTTTGTTCGAGTGATAAAAAGTTAATGCAAATTTATTAATGAAAATCAATCACTGTATTAATATTCCAGCCTGTACTTTCAATACCAACATTTCACCCATTTACAGTACTTGAAAAATATATTTTTTTAAGCTACACTACAAAGCAAACTAATTCATGCATATCTAAGCAAATGGGTCAGTCTTGAAATATTCATCGACATCTGCCTCAAATGCACCACCAAAGAAATCTAGAACATATATGTGCGTGATGTTCAGCTTTGCGAAAAAAAAATTATGACCTGCAAACAGAAAAGTAATTTAGTATCTGGTGAAATTTTTTTTAAATATCATTTAAGTGTGCATAAAGAAAATTGTGAAAAAACTAAATAAAATAGGGCAATGAGTAGAATAAAGTGATCTGTCTGAGCAACCCCTTGTTTAGTTCATTAGACAGGGCTTGGGTCCATCCAGGAAAATACTCTTGCACCAGACTGGTCAACTTTTTGCATCACAGATCAGCTCTACAAATGCTTTTGCCACTTAGCTGGAGGTGGAAAGATAGCAAAGAGCATCTATCAACCACCAATTGACAAAAATTATACAACTCCTTTCTCATTGCCTTGCATCAACCTGCTTAGTATCAGGTCTACAGAGGACTACCAAGTTAAATTGACTGGTTATTCTTTGAAACTAATCTCCAAACAGGATAACCAATATTTTTATTTTAACTTTATGATATGGTACCTAGTCATATGCATATGGTTATTTGCTTCAACTTGTTTCCAAGGTTATCTCTGATGCTTACTGTTGAGGGAACACATACAATAGTCTCCATTGCACGATTCTGTACAGATTAAGATACTGTACTTAACTAAGCGTCCCAACGATGTAGCAAGTACATCTGCAAAGCTCCACAAGTTGTCAAAAATTTCACTAAAGCCCAGCAGGACACTAGTGTCCTGGGTAGATTTTTTATTGTTGCCGCCAAAGGCGGCTAGTTTATTGTGCACCCCATACTCATCCTGTGAGCGGTAGCGCAAAAGCATTACAGAGGGCACAAAATGTCTTCATCAGACTGTGTCCTGGGTAAACCCTGATCCTGGCCTCAGGATGGAAATGAGCCAGGAACTAACTAAAACAATTACAGAATTAATTTGAAAACACCCACATCTGTACTAGGTACTCCCAGATTAAGAAATTTCCCATTATGCAAATTGATTCAATGTGCTGAACTGAAGAAATAAATACTGCACATATGTTAAATATACACTACTAGAATGCCAATGGGGGGGTGGGGGGGGGGTAAAACTCAAATGCAAAATAAAAAACAATAGTTATGGAGACATTCTTGCTTGAAATTAAATATTAATCAGATTTGAGAAACCTTAAATGAAATCAGTCAAGACGAAATATTTTGTCACCAATAAGAAATTTAACACCCCGTCAAAAAAGATAAAAAGATTTGTGGGGTTGCTTATAAATACAAAATTTGTGTAAACAAAATTCCTAGCTGAAGTTTTAAAATTACTTACCAGCAGGCCAAGTTGCCATTACTGGGTGCCTTGTAAACAGAGCATTCTGGGCTAAACTTGCCTCGGCAGTTCCCCTTTTTAACTGAAACAATTCAGAAATATATTAATACAGTAAATGCCGTGTAGTATATGGAAAAAAAAAGTTAAGTTCATTGCTATAATCATACATTAATTCATTTTAATTTCATGAAAACTATCACAACCTGGCTAAATTTAGTTCTTGTAACTTCCCATTCAAACAGGATATTCTTATAAAATTATCAACTGTGGGACCATCAGTACTTATATTTGTAAGCAATACAGGACTTGCACACTGAAAACTTTGTCTGCAAAAAAAATTACAAAAGCAAACTTGTTCTTTTATATTCTTTCATGCAAAAGTGGCATACAGTACAAGCAAAAATATTTCTTAATTTCTGATCCTATTGTCATAAGTGAAGTATTTTCCAAATTACTCCTTGCTTTTAAAATACAGTGGTACCTTCGTTTACAAATTTAATTCATTTCAAGACAATTTGTAAACCGAAAATTCGTAAACCAAATGAATTTTCCCACAAGAAATACTGTAAATTCAATTAATCCGTTCCACACCCCCAAAAATATTGACTTAAAAATACATTTTATACGTACTACTACTAATATTTTGTATTACAGTATGCGTAAGTATATCTTACTTTTAATGAGGACACTTGTTGGCGTATGGAAGATTGAGGAGGGGTAATGGGGAGGAGAGGTAAGTGTTTGCAAGGAAGCCCCCTTCCATTATAACATCAGGAAAGGATCACATTTCTGGGACACACACACACACACCTATGCTTTGCAGGCATACCACTAGGACCTGGTTGTGGCTCACTGCTTGCTTGTTTTAGTAAGAATCTGTCTAAAGACTTTTTTCCTACATTTTAAGACTTTTCTGTAATGAGACGTGACATTCATTCACTATGATTTTTTTTTTTCCTTTATCGTCATCCTCACAACTATTTTCTTACGTTGAACTTTACCACTGACTTTGTTGGGACCCATGGCATGATATATATTACTTATGGTCAGAAACCAGAAAAGCACAAAACAATTAAATTCTTCACAAAGAATTTAATTCAAGCGCGATCGTCACTAGGCAGGAGACACTGGTAAAGTGAATCGCGCCTCGCCCGTGCAACCAGGAACCACGCGCTCGGTCAACCCATACGTGTATCAACAAACTCGCCAAGCGAGGCAAAGCTCGAATACCGAGTCAAGTTTTATGAAGAAATTGAGCTCATAAACCGAAAAATTCGTAAAGGGAATTCATCAACCGAGGAGCCACTAATTAAATACAGATCATCTTTTACAGTTCAGTATACATTTTGCTATTGTTTGACAAGAAATATTTAGAATAAGCAGTTAAGAGCATTTTCAACATTCAGAGGGAAACATCCTAGGGAAAATGCTTAGTGTATAAGTTCTGCTTTTACATCAATGCTTGAAGTTATCAGCCGATCCAGGGAATGAGAAATTTATGCATATTAATTAGTTTACAGCAATCTCTTTAAATTAAAAATGTTTATACTGTACGAGCTCAGTTATCTGAAGCCTGCTGAACTGGATATTTAGGTTATCTGGCCAAAATAGTGTCCAAATAATCTAGTAAAACTTCAGACAAATTAGGATAACCAGATACTAGGCAACATAAAATTTCAAGAACTATACATATCAAGATCTACATTATCAAACAAGTTGAGCTACAAGACAAGCTGAAGCTTGTTTTAAATTATATTTTTTATTTATTGTGGAAATTCAAATCGTGTCGAATGTGGTACAACAAATAGTGGATATTCATTTTTCGACTTTTCTGGTAAGAATTCCTGCTTGTTCAGTTACCTGTTGTATTCAATAAGGGGTCCTATTCATAGTCCAGATAACCAAGCTAAGTTGGTACTCTCAGATGTTGCCTTTTATAAGCAACTTCATTGATTCTGTACATTTTGATGTCTGCATTAGTTTGTCGAAAGGCAAAGTTTGTGCTAATACTGTATAAAAATTTACATCTAAACATCCTCAAATATTTTATAAAACTTCCACTTACCTGCTTCACATAGTATCTGACCTCTATTAAATGGAGTAGATTAAAAACTTATAAATATAAACCCAAGATGGTATTGAGGTAGAATAGAGTAAGGTAATCTATGAATAGCACGAATACAATATTAATGTTGTAAAATGTGGCAAAACATGTACTGTAATGTACTCCAAAGACTGACATATATACACCAAGACACTCACTTCAATTATTTGGCCACTAAGTAGGACACGAGCACATCGTGGGTCCTCTGGATCATAACCCTGATTCTTACAATAATCAGACTGAGCCTCAGAAAATGATAATGTAGCCCGGGTATCTTTCTGCAAAAAGAAAGTTACAATTGCTATATTAAAATGCACTACATATAAAAGGATTATACTATCCTAAAAACAACATCAGACTGTGCATTCATCGAAGTGAGAGAACCGGAAAATTACAAACCTGCATTTCCCTTGGGGTAGGCAATATATTCTCGAAGAGAAATACAAGATCAACTTGCACAATGTAATAAACCAAAAGTGCAGATATGAGGAACTACTCTGAAAATGGAGGTTACATATTGATACTGTATTATGAAAGTTATGATGGAGAATGAAGGATTTCAATGCTACGTGCAACTAAACAATTTGACCAAAACATTGTTTAGTATTTGAACAGAACTGTACAACTATTACTAAGCACTTGAACAAGTACAGGCTGGATATATAATGAGCACATTTACTGTCAGAGGGGTGGAAAGTACAGGTTGTATTGGCAGTGTGTTGGTGAAATTGCAATGGTATTGGAACTGGTGGAAGGCAAGTGGGTGGAGATGGGGAGTTGTGGGTCACATATGTAGGCCTATCAGTTAACCGTGTAGACAGTAAGGGTGGAAAATATGCCAGCTACATGTGTGTTGCCATTTGAAAACTAACAATCTGAAAAAGGATGTGAAATATTTAATTATACAAGCACTATGTAAAACCTATAATTTTTAAGCATCACAATATACGCACTGGTCACCTGTAGTTCAATTAACTAGTTACCTATTGACAGCTGAGGTAATATTTTACATCCTGACTGCTTTAAGCTTCCTGCCACTTTAAATAATTTAACAATAACATATCTCAATATGGCTGTTTTGCCATGGAAAAACTTTTAATTTTACAAACTTTATAGCCTTTTAGATCATAGCACTTGACAGATGATTCACTTACTGAACCAGCCTTTTTTTAACTGAAAATCATGACCATGTTACATTCATCAAAAACAGCCTATAGACTTGCAGAAGATTCGTAACATTATAGCTGTCAAAACTCCAAGATAAATATTCATAAATATTTCAGATAATGCTAAATAGATATTTCAAAAACCTTCCAAAACACATGCCTTCAAACAAAGTTGTAATGTACAAAATTCATAACCTGCACATGCAAGCAAGGGTACTTAACTGACAAGTGAACTTACAAGTAAATCCTTTCCACTTAGATCCATTCGGGTCATATACATGTATGGAGTGCCACTTGACCGATTCACAGGGCCATCACTGATACTTATTATGTTGGCAAATGGGAAGCCTTCAATGGGTAAAGCAGTCGAGATTGTTGCTATAGACGCCCATTCTGTAAGAGAGAAAACCGTGTTTAAATGTAATGACAATGCCATCTGTTGACGGAGATGTGGCAAGTTAGGAGGCGAGGTCAATGATGAAGACATCTAGTGAGTGAAGTAAAGATATCAACGCTATCTAGATTGTGCATCCAACTGTATTTTCAGTTCCCCGGTGAAAGGCTGACATCCTATGTTATCCTTGTATACTTTGTCTGGCTAAAGACTATGTCCACAGAGGCCTCATGGAGGGTCGTTCACACTTTGGAAATCAGTTCACATTGCACAGTCCAGAACGCCTGACTTGTCCTTGTGAAGACAAGTGGCCGCTGTCGGTAGTGAACAATGTGTTGGCCGTTTATTTATAATTATATATATATATATATATATATATTATATATATAATATATATATATATATATATATATATATATATATATATATATATACATATATATATATATATATATATATATATATATATATATATATACATATACATATATATATATACATATACATATATATATATACATATATATATATACATATATATATATATACATATATATATATACATATATATACATATATATATATACATATATATATATACATATATATATATACATATATATATATACATATATATATATACATATATATATATACATATATATATATACATATATATATATATATGTCGTACCTAGTAGCCAGAACGCACTTGTCAGCCTACTATGCAAGGCCAAATTTGCCTAATAAGCCAAGTTTTCCTGAATTAATATATTTTCTCTATTTTTTTTCTTATGAAAAGATAAAGCTACCCGTTTCATTATGTATGAGGTCAATTTTTTTTTATTTTAGTTAAAATTGACGTAGATATATGACCGAACCTAACCAACCCTACCTAACCTAACCTAATCTATCTTTATAGGTTAGGTTAGGTTAGGTAGCCGAAAAAGTTAGGTTAGGTAGGTTAGGTCGTCGAAAAACAATTAATTCATGAAAACTTGGCTTATTAGGCAAATTTGGCCTTGCATAGTAGGCTGAGAAGTGCGTTCTGGCTACTAGGTACGACATATATATATATATATGTATATATATATATGTATATATATATATGTATATATATATACATACATATACATATATATATATATATATATATATATATATATATATATATATATACATACATACATACATACATACATACATATATATATATATATATATCAACTGGCTATCTTAATTATGATTTGTAACTAGATCCTGTTCACAAGCCATACTGTTAATGTATAATTTCTCTAGGTATTCTACTCTTTTTAGTTTTAACATTTGTCTAGTATTTTGACTACCACGCTCATCAATGATATGGGTCTATAATTTAGTGGGTTTTCTCTGCTTCTATTTTTGTAGATTTGACTATCATGTTTCCTTCTTTCATATATCTACTAAGATTCCTGTAAATAAAATGTCTGAAAAATCAACTTTAGTAAAATACTCAGCTCGGGTGCTCTCACACACTGAACTCATGGTGTAACTCCATCTGGGCTACATGCCTTCTTCCTAGTTCCTCTAGTAATTTCTCAACATCATCTCAAGACACTTATGTACTCCACAATATTCTCTCAAATCAACATTGTGTTATTCTCAGAAAATTATTTTGCACAACACTTTGGAACTGTTCACCTAGTGTTTCACATTTCTTTTCCAATTCTTTAAATCTGTTTCTTCATTTTCAATTTGAGCTTTATCCTTCTCATGCAGCTTTCTGTTAATAAATTTATAGAAAGGACCTGGTTCTGTTTTACATTTATTCCCCATCCCTTAAAGATTTTTCTGCCTTTCATCATATATTTTAAGATGTGAAATACATCTAACTCGCTTCTTTGCCTAACAAATCTTTACAAATCCATTAAAAAAAAAAAAAAAAAAAAAAAAAAAAACACTTTTCCCATAGTCTACTCTTCAAATAATGTTTTTCAACTATTTCATTCCCCACGCCCCTCCTCTTCTAGATTATAACACATTTCATATTTGATTTCCAACAGGAAATGTTTGATTATACCCAATGGAAGAAGGTGAAGAAACTGAACTAGCTTTTGTACAAGTGTGCAAAATAATAAACTTAAGTATTGAGGCACTGGTGTAAGCAATATATATTCAGACTCTTGAGTGTGTCCACTGTTGTGATCACTGACCCTTAGATTAATGTGATAACAGCATATTTGAGATAATATTAGGACTAGGCAGCTGTTGCCACCCAACCTTAGATAAATTATGTGATAACAGCATGTTTGATATCAGTTAAGCCTAGGCTAATAGGCCTAAACCAGAGATCCATACCATTCCTGTTTACAGTGTGTGTAATATAGATAGATAAAGAGATATGATATAGATATATCGATAAATATACTGTATCTACATACATACACTAACATACTGTATACATACATAAACATACTGTATACATACATACAGTATATAATATGTATCTATATTTATATAATAAACTCCATGAGAAAAATGAACATCAGAATGTACAGTATTCAGTGGTAGAGGCAGCAACAATGAAGGAAGCCCCTACCTGAGGTATGCACAACATATCTTGCAACTTTGGTCACTTCTTCATGGGGTGGAGGCAATGGCCATGCCTTTGCCCGATGTTCTGAAGTAATGTGCACAGTTCGATGTGATGATGCAGCCTGTGAATGACAAGGTTCCCCAAATATTAAATCTAATATAGCAGCAATTTTTAATGCAAATATTTTATATACTGTACAGTGTGTAACCACAGTAATGTTACAGTACTTTAACCTAGACTGATGGATGCCTACAACTACTTTAACCTGAAAAATACAAAGTGGGCAAAGCTATTTTAATAATTAAATTAATAAGTGCTAACATTGTTTAATTAAACACTAGCCTACAATCCACTAAACATGCTTGGCTAGCTTGTTCGAGAGCACTGTCCAATTTTATTTCCTGATGTACAACATTATCAAACACTACTGTACTGACACTGAACTGAAAAAGTATAGTTGAATTATGAAAAATTATCTATGGAACAGTTGCAGTTAATACATACCTGGTATATGGCAATTGCCAAAGATGCCACAGAAAGAGTAGTTGCAATACCCATGATAAAGAACTGGCATCCAGTGTTCCTTCGTCGATTCTGTAAAATAACAATGTTTATCGTAATTAAGTTAATATTCACCATCAGAAAACCTTTATACAATTTGCAACCGACTTAAAAACTGACTGCCAGAAGTGGAATTTGTTGTTTCCAGTTCAAGTACTTGATCCTTTCTGGTCAGTGTCCACATGATGCATTTTCATGTTTGCCTTATGTGCTAATCGTAGTCTTTCAACTTGTACTTCCACAGGTTGGTTCGTCTTTGCCAGCTTCGGGAACATTCCCGTGCCATGAATCCATACTTCTTGCACATTGTCGTCCCTCATTTCAGAGTGTCTCGGGCACACTTTGGGCCAAGTGGATTTCAGGGACCCTCCCACAGTTGATCATACTATTGAGGGTGTTAGGTGGCAGGTTGTTGTACTGTGTTGATTAATTTACCAAAAGGCACAACATCCAAGCACTACTTCTGAAGGCTTTAGTCCCCTTTTTAACTGCAGTTTACCGAAGTTCTCTAAAGGTCAACAAGTGCCAAATATCACAGGTAAGGATAATTTGTCTAAAATTGTAGCCACAGTCAAATTAAAAAATTTATTTAATCTAAATATACTGTACATATATTCCTAACAGTCACCCAGTCATACTGAATGCAATCAATAAAACCCATGCAAGACCAATACTCTACCAGAAAATGAAGGGCTTGCATGGAAAGCAAATCTAGTGAAGTACAAAACTGAAAAATTACACATTTGCAACAAGAATAGTGCTGGAATCGAGAGGACTAAGCTATGAATACTGGTTAAGGGAGTTTAATCTTAAACCAACTTCTAGAGCAGAGGATGAACAAAGAACAGTTATAAATACAAGAGGTAACCTTCCATTCAAGAACAATATTCCTTCCATTAAATGAAGGTTTACCTTTACCTAGGAAGGTAAAATCTTTCATTTTACAAGAGGCAACAGTTATGAACTATACAAGCCACATGGACAGAAAACAGGAAATGCATTTTCACCCATAGAGTCAAACCCATGGAAATGCTAGTTCAAAATCCAGTTGGAAAAAATCCTAAAGAATAATGGTGGGGGGAGCTTTGACAAACTGTCAGCTTCCTATTCCCATTGAGGGGACTGGATATATAATTGCCCTCAGGTTAATACAAGATATGTACTAAGACAGTATAAAAAGGAAATTTGTGAAAGCTAGACGTGCAAATAAATCCAAATGTCATAATACTCGCACTCCGAGTGTCAACAAATGGAAAGCAATGAAGACTTGAGAAGCTATCTCAAGCTACAATTTCCAACCCATATGTGACAAATGTTATCAGTGGGAGGTTTAAATAAAACACAAGGAACAAGACTTATGATGGGCATAAAAAGCAAGTCTTCACTTCTTCCTTATCACTGTTAGGTAAGCGCACTATGCCATACAGTGAGTTGGACTTTGAACGAGAGCAGTTTGTGAGCCAGCATATCTAATTTTTACCTCCAAGATAAACAACTTCAAGACAGTTACCACCACTTGAGAATTAGGGAAATAATAGACACTTGTATAGATACTTTACCGTTATAAAATTACAATACAGCACAATACTGGAATGTATTATAAAACGTCACTGCCTATTAAAGGCAAACAGCAACTAACCTAGGCTGCAAGTCCTACATCAAGTCACATTAAGAAGATCTTTTCTGCCGTGTTACCTCTTAATATGTAATATTTTCGTACATTTTCTTTTGGATGTATTAAACTAGTTGCAAAGAGATTATGTCTGCCAGAAAAACTTGTCTGGTTAAGCCAGGAAGGATAGTCATTTTATATTCACCTTGCTTTATAAAAGCCAATATGAAGAGGCCATATGATAAAGGCTGAGGAGTGAGGAAGCAGGAATAGTAGTGTGGGTAGATACTAAACTCTTGAAAAAAGCACATACAATTAACTGCACTGGGTTGTGGTACGGGCCCCTGACAGCCGAGTGGACAGCCTTTTGGATTCGTAGTCCTGAGGTTCTGGGCTCAATCCCCGGTGGAGGTGGAAACAAATGGGCAGAGTTTCTTTCACCCTGATGCCTCTGTTCGCCTAGCAGTAAATAGGTTCCTGGGAGTTAGACAGCTGCTATGGGCTGCTGCTATTATATATTAGCGAGGTTAGGTTGGGTTGGATTAGGTTAGGTTCGTTATATTCATATTATGTATGTCCAAATAGTGTCGTGTCCTCTAGGGTTGTATCTGAATAGCACAGAAGCTAGTCACCCTGGAAATTTATGGTACAGGTTCTCTAATCAAAGAGATATTCCTTCTAATACTCTAATACAAATTCACACATAACATCCCTGATTATGTAATATTCATCCACTCTGGTCTACCGCCGTTAACACTACAATTACGAATTTAAATTTGAAAAGTATTTTGTGGGATTTTATTGACTAAAATAATGAAATTAAGGCGTATGATCATGTGGTGTTGAGGTCATGCAAGCAGTTTGCAGGTATTAGTGTAGTACAAGTCACTCTTAACACAAACTATCCGTTTATTACACTACAACCTATACTTAACTCAATCTTAAGACATGTATTGTTCTTGGCTTACCCATTAGTCCTCCACTGTTCAGTTTCCGTACGTAACTCTAGTATAAATAAAATACTACACCATAGCACCGTACCCAGAGCACAAACCTACGGACATATTAGGAAAATTATGTTCACAGAAAATAAGTAACATTATTTACCGTCTTCTTCACTGTGAAGTCTGGGTTAAGGAGACCGAGGGTGGCTTCACTCTTCGACATTTTCACAAGTTAGTTTATACTTGCAGGGAGAGATAGATGCGTGCTGCCTCTGGCCAGGTCGCCCCAAGAGTGCTGGAGATGATGAGGATGTTGTCTCTCCAGGAGGAGCTAAGACGGTCGCTCCTCAAGAGACAGTGCCAGACGCCGCCAGCACACTGCCATCTATTGACCGGCACCGTCTCTACCTCCCTCCACCGTTCTCTCTTAATGCACCAACGTGCTGCTTAACTAAGTTACCGCCTTATCTACACAGTAATTTGCTTACCTAAATGAATTTTAGGGTACAATTCCTGCGCTAATTACGTGTCTGTATAAAATGTACTACCACCTACAGGATGGGTATGAGGTGCAATATAAATTAACTTATTAACTGGGCAACTAAAGTAACATGTATAATTTCTCCATAAACAATTATTATTGTTTATGAGCAGTAGGATAGCGTTTATAATTAATCTCTGAACAATGAATGTAAAGAGACTTATATAGTGTTATACTAAACAATTGCTCGAGTTCCACATACACACCCTGAGTTAACTGTACTTCAACTACTTATTAATTCTTAGAATAAGGGTTATGTGACTCAAAGTCAGTTCTTCAAACACAGATTCATTTGTTTAGTACATTTATTATGCCCCCCCCCCCTTTACCCATCCCGTGGGCGGTAGTGAAAAATGTTAGAGGCACATATTATGGGCTCAGGAACTGAACTTCAACAAAATTAATTTAGCTAAGCAAGTTATAGTCTTGATAGAGTACTTACAAAGTTGAATGAATTATTACAACAACAATGGGCTCGAGAACGACCAGAGCACAGTCTCAAAGCTAGGCAGCTTACATATAATAATAAAGCATTAATATTATTATTTATACAGAGAAATCACTCGAACGTGATATATATCAACGAGAAAATCCACTGGAGCTCTAAGGTGACTTAAACCCGCTACTAACAGCTGGCAAGCAGGATGCAACCCCACAATAGTTCCTTATCTCCAGGGGTACCTGTTTACTACTAAGTGAACAGAGGCATTAGGTGAAAGGTTACAGCCTCAAGCTGAAGGACAGAAAACAGGAGATGCTTTTTACGCCCAATGGGTTATAAGCCCTTGGAACTTTCTACCCGCCGCAGCCGTAAATGTCATAGCATTACCGCAGTTCAAAATCCAGTTGGAAAAAGTATTAGGAAAAATTAAGGACCTTTGAAAAGCCATCGGTTTCTTGTTCCCGACGTGGCCGTAAGATAGATAGTTGCCCTCGGGTAAATTCAGGTAATCCCCATAGAACCGCAACGGCAAGAGATACCGGTTTAAGTCGTTTTCGAGCTGTGATAATGTCTGATTGTGTAGATTCCTAAGTTACATTTCCATTTTGTTAGAATGCCATTTGGGTTAAATAAGTAATACAAAACGTGGAATTTTTGGGGTCTAACAGTACGTTCTTGTCCGTTTGACTAAATAGTTGCTATAAATATTATTTCAGGAGGCTGGACTGCGATAAATAATTATTGCAGTGTGCTGGCCCTGCAATAAATAATTATTTTATTTATTTATTTATTCCCTCTGGTTATATAACACCTGCAATAAATAATTATTGCAGTGTGCTGACTCTGCAATAAATAATTATTGCATACTAAATTAATGCATAAGGAAGAGGCTTGATAATGTGACCAATAACATTAAATCAATGAGGAGAGGCTTCACTATCACTTACAGTTATATACTCGTAATGGCTTGGCGTTTTTCCGTGAGTTTATATATATATATTTCGTCTTCCGTCAACAATGTTGACAAGGAGAAGTCGACTACTTGGCGAGGAAAGGTCGACTAGGGGCGGACGCGAGCCATAAGATTTACAAGATTCCAATCAGGAGAAAAACCTCCAAGTGTCCCGAGAACAAATTGACACAAACTGGAGCACTTCCTCAGACATTCACGAATTTAGAAGGATTTTTTTTTCCCGCATTTCAGTAGTCCAATAAAATACTATTCATTTATTTTCCAGATTTGTATTTATTGATATATTTGTTAATTTTATTTCAGAGGAATTGGTGCTATTAGACCTTAACAATCTCTACTGAGCATTGGTTGCATTTGCCAGTTATACAGTCTGACTTTGGTCATTTGTCCTTCAACCAGCGGGAGCAATGGGTCCACAGGAGTGTCGCAGGAGTCTGAGGGAAGGTAAAATAATAACAGGAGTCAAAAATATGAACGTCAATATGAAAAAAAAATCTTTTGAAATCCATGATCATGAATTGTGGGGTTCAGTCCCTGAGCCCATTATGTGCTTCTGTAACCCTTTCCACTACCGCCCACAAGATGGGTATGGGGTGCATAATAAATTAACTAAACTAAAACTAACATGATCAATATTATTTAAAAAAATGGCACTATGATTACAATTTTAAATATTTAACTTTTAAATACAACGTTAAGTATCTTTTTAATATATATAAAGTCTTTCCTTCAACAAATGATGGCGTCTTAATAATTTCAATAGGCTGCAAAGTGAAAAAGGTTGAAGATCTCTGCTGTACAGTATATAGTTGTTGGTGGTAGGCTGGTTCTAACATATTGACAGCTACAGTCTGCATGTTCCCTCTGGTTAGTTTGTCTGCGGTTTCATTTCCATATATCCTTACGTGGTTATAAACCCAGTTAATATACATTTTTCTTCGTTATAATCACAAATTTTGAAAGTAGGCACACGCTGTGGTAAGTAAGTTTTCGTTGTTTGAAGGTTTATGGTTCTTAGGGTTGAAATGGCTATAAGATATTGTACTCCTGTTAGGCCCTATTTATATAATGCAGTTCAGTTTTGGTTATACTATATCATGGATATAAATTCTTTAGAAGCGTGCTTGCAAAGAGGACACAAGTAACTCCAAGTGTTAGGAACCTTCCTGCATATATAACACGGGTAACGTATCTGTGATATATGCTATATGGAACACTGGAGTGTGACAATGAAGACTAAATTTTAATATAATTCTGTATATTAAGTACAAGAATGCATAATAAATTAAACATGATGCAAACGTATATTATATATATAAATACTATACACTTTGTTTAGCAATATTTTAAAGATAAGATAAGATAAGATAAGATATTTATTCAGATAAAGGTACATAAATAGAAGATGAGTTACAAACATAATGTTGGATTTATAGATAGAGCTATAAGGGGTAAAGAGTAAGATCAGTTAATCCATCAGGTAACCCTACTTTTCTGCGAATTAAAGCACTAAATAAAGAGTTACTTTCCAACATTCCAACAAGCCGCTACCTGGCCAAATACGAATTATATTTGTGAAACCAAGTTGCCATATCGAAAGATAGATCGCTCCACTTTCTTTGACACATTCACGTTTTCTATATTCATTCAGCTTTCAGCAGGTGGAGACATCTAGCGACGGGGAAGGGAGTCGCGGGCCGGTGCGTCGTCTGCTGGGTCAACGCGGGAAACGTCAGTGTGCTCTTGGCCGCTGTGACGTGTGGGGAGTGCTCGACCCTGCACCGGGAAGTTGCAAATAACATAAATGAATTCTGTGTTTGCGCTCGTAACATTCCGCGGATGATATTAGCAGTGATTAAACTTTATAGACATTGGATTATCGCTCTCTGTTCTGAAGTAATAGCAACCATGGCGGCTCAAAAGGTGAGAAATAGGGAGGGGAGAAACCTAGGATGAGGGTGGCACGCCATGGGAAGGCGTCCGTCCCCCTCTTGATATGTTCAGTGACTCACTAGGTCATAGGGTGAGGTGGTTCAGACTCCTGGTGGTAGTAAAGGAGTGTCGGTTCTCTAGATATAACAGAATATAATAGTTGACAAGTGATGCCGGGCCTCAGGTTAAGAGATAATTACCAGATTAAGTGGGTTATGGTCGCAGCCTCCAGCTGTACAGCTTGGCGGCGACGCGTGCCGGCACTGAGGTCCTCCTGTCTAATGCTCTCCCAGCTGCTGTCAGCATCACTCCTCCTGTCTAATGCTCTCCCAGCTGCTGTCAGCATCTCTTAGTGTAATAGACCTGCAAATAGCTCTTCATCTAAGCCTTACCACATTTACCCATCACAAATGGGATCCTCGGCTCCCGTCTCCCCGTTGCCAGCATATGGGGCAGTGAGGTGCTCCTGTTGGTCTCTGGCGGCACCGCAAGGAACGTGGCGGTGTAATTGTATCATTTGTTACTTGTTGTCTGTCTGTCTGTAGAGACAGTGTGACACCGAAGGTTAGAAAATTCCTCGCGAGCTGGTTGAATCTGTCGGCGTAATGTTAAGTTGTTAAATCTTATCTTTTATATGAGATTCGTTGTGTAGGCCTACTGGAAGCTGAATTAAGAGTTGGAATGTATGAATCTAGAAGCAAATTATTTTGTATTATATAATTATGTAATGGATGATGTGTAGATATCATAATAATAGTAAATACGCTCTTCAAATAGTAATTGCCTTCGTGTATCCATTGATAAACCAGATGATTTTGTATCTCATCACATATTCATCATATTCATGAGGGTCTCTCGTCTGATGTCGACCTGTATGTAGGTCAATTAAACAGAAGCAACACGGGACAAATAAAAAAACCTTCACACTTTATTACTTCATGTTTTTTTTTATTGCCTAAGAGTCAGGTTGCCCATAGAGGCGTGTGTGACATGGGCTCTATCAGCTGACGGGGTGTAGAGCCTCTTGGCCTTGTATCTGAGAACCTAGCTCTTAGAATTGTAGGGTTGAGCTTTAGCTCTTTGACTCTTAGATTTTTAGGCGTCGGTGGCTCCTGTCCCTTTAAACTTCTGTTTTTTTAAATTGTATATGAAGTTAGCCGTTACCATCCTTCCTAGCTCATTCCTCTAGGGATTACTGCCCCCCCTCCACATTCTAGCTTTATATAATTTGTATAATTTTTATAATAAAAGTGAGGGTGCCATGACTGAGTTGAATATTCAAGCATTGAGGAAATATAATACCGAGTACAATGAACAAATTCTGTACTGAGTACAATGCTCTGAAGGCATTAATGTTTTTGAAGGCTGTTTAAATTTTTACCACTTTCCATTGCCTCCTAAGGTCATTTTCCAGACGTAGTAGGTACGTTCCTTTCGTTAGGTATTTCCCCTCCCCCCCACACACACCAGCTG